AAGACAGAAGAGAGAAGATTGATTCCATCTTCAAGGCTCATGACTTTTTGAAGAAGCACGCCAGGGCAGAGGATGAGGCAGAACTCGTTAAATGGATGGCAGGAACAAGCGAGGATGGCAGCAGTTCAGAGGGAGAGGTGAAAGACGAGGAAGACAAAGGAGCGGCTGGAGGTCCAAAGTATTTCCTGAGAAACAAAAAAGGGAAGCACCCCAATGCTTGAAGATTGGTTCGGAAAGCGCACTAAAAGATAATACTAACCCCAAAGGGACACTACTAATACATTAATTGACCGATTTTGAAAGGTACAGAAGAAACGAAATCATCCAACTGATGAAGAAAACTTTGACTTTGACTTTACTAATAAAAGATTAACATACTAATTTCTAACATCACTCAACACTTTTCTTTGTCCCGCTATATACCCTCCGTATTTTTCTGTAATGTTAAAGCGAAAAAATTCTCTCTTTTTTAGGAGAGGGAATTAAAAAAAAAAAAAAAGACCATCCCAACTCAGTGGAAAATGTGCCAGGTTTGCCATTGCAAAGACCATCCCAACTCAGTGGAAAATGTGCCAGGTTTGCCATTGCCAGGTTTGCCATTGCAACTGCACTGCAGGCTCCTCCCCAAGCCTCAAACCCAGGATTTCAGGTTGTATGCTCCTCCCCTTAACTTCCAAATTTCCTCCCTTTTCCTTTTTAACAAGTGTGCCCTCCTGATGATGTGTGTTTGTGTGTGGCTACTGAGGGCATTATTTCTCAGGTGCTTAGTGTAGGTTCTCTTTACATTTGTACTTGTTTTATTTTATTTCGTATAAAATAAAATTGCCTATGTCTACAATCATTCACTTCCTTCCTTCCTAATTTTAATGTGTGGTACCCCTACTGAGTAGGAATGGGCACAGATCAGGAAAATGCAGTGCATGATTATTCATGGTGTGTCAGTTTGTGAACCACGAACTATCATGAACTTTTAAGAGCCAAATGAACTGGTGAGGTTTGTGAGGTTTGTGATGTAGTGGAACCTCCCCCAGGATGCTAGAGACACCAAATTGGCAGGTGATCTTCAGCTGACTCTCCTCCATGTCCCCTCCAAGTTCGGTGAGGATTGTATTTACAGGGACTGAGTTATGCCCCCCAAAACAAAGTGCACCCATCCTCCATTTTTCCAGTGTAGGGGGGAAACAAAATAACAGCAGCAGCAACAACAAAGACAATAGAAGCCCAGCAGAAGAGAATCAAAGTTCCAGAGAATTTTTGCAGTACAAACTGAAGGTGTGGGGGACATTTTTGCAAGCCAAGAATAACCAGTGCCACCATGGCAGTGCAAACACAACAGGACTAAAATCAAGCCAGATAATCTCAGCAGTAGAAATTGAAGGTGGGGTGAGGGATTTTCGCAAGTCCAGCAGAACCAGTGCAATGTACAGAGTGCCCAGCAGTACTAGTGCAATCAAAGAATTCCCAGCAGAATCCAGTGCCATTGTGGCAATATCAGCTCAACAGAAATGCTGTCTAGCACAGAATCACACTCCAAGAAAGTGGGAGGGGGTGGCTTGCAAGCCCAGCAGAACCAGTGCACTGTACTAGTGTCCCACAGAACCCAGTGCAATTGTGGCAATGCCAGCTCTACAGGACTGATGCAAAGCACAGAATCCAAGCAAGGGGAGGCTTGCAAGCCCAGCACGATCAGTTCAGTAAACAGAATACCCAGCAGAACTCAGGGCCACCACAGGAATGCAAGTAAAAGAGGACTTATGGCAAACCAGAGAATCCTTGCAATACAAACTGAAGGGCAGCATTTTTCAAGCCCAGCACAGCCCGTTCAGTATACAGAATGCCCAGGAGAACCTAGTGTCACTGTCACATTGCAAGCTTAAAAGGAATGATCTCAAAGCACATAGTAACTAATCCAAACTGGGGGGGGGGGTTGTACACCTAGCACAACCAGTTAAAATGTGCAGAATGCCTAGCAGAACCTAGTGCCACTGGAATTGCATGCTTAAAAGGACTGATCTCAGAGCACACACTCACAAATCCAAACAATGAGGGGGGGTTGCAATCCCTGCATGACCAGTTACAATGTACAGAACTGACCAGTAGAACCCAGGGCCACCTGCATTGCAAGCTTTAAAAAGACTGATCTCAAAGCAAAGAGTCACAAATCCAAATAAAAGGGGTGGGATTTATTCCTTTCTAGAGCCCTTTTAAAGCTAATTTCCCCTTAACTGGGTCCAGTTTGGGAAACAGGATAGGGTGTCCTGATTGTGTTCTCAAATTTGCAATTTCTTTATTAGATGGCATTAGGTAGGTCACTCTCTCTCCCAGTCTGCCTTGGTATAGTAAATAAAAATAGACCTACTTTGAATGGTTATAATAACACTAAAAAGTATTAATTTTTAACATTTGTGTATGACTTTTAAGGAATCAATTCTCAATTGTCAACAGTGCATATGAAGCACATTGAACATGCACAGAATCATTCTATGAATGTGAAGTATTGTCCATTAAACTTTTGTAAATACCACAGCATTGAATTAAGCATTTTTAAACCCCACTGGTATGTAAGGACAGCCTGATATGTGTTCATTATGAGAGAAATGTATTCTGCACTTTCTCAGTTATTTATTAGCTCATCAACAGCTTAGTATTTATTCTGGGGATGAAGGCTAGTGAGTTCTGGCACAATTGGAGCCCCACGGAACATTCTCTGACATACTGAAGGACAGGGGAATTGCTCTGTTCCAGTGATCTCCTGGAAATTTATAGAACTGTCAGTGATGTCAGATGGATTTCCTCAATGAGTTTAGCTTTCTGTATCATGGATATTCTGAATCTCACTTGTTTTCCTTTTATTTTCTGTCAAATAAAGTCAGAGTTGTGCTTTGGAATACACTCCTGAATGCTTCTTTCACCTCAGTATTCCGAAGTGTGTAAATGAAAGGATTTAACAAGGGTGTGACAATAGTATTTAAGAGGGTGACTATTTTGCTCAGTTCCAAGGAGTTCTGCTTGAAAGGTATGACATGCAGGAAAATGGTGGAACCATACCATATAAGGACCACTGTGAGATGGGAGGAACAGGTAGAAAAAGCCCGTTGCCGACCTTGAGCAGATGAGATCTTTAATATTGTGGTGATGATATAAATATAGGATATCAAGGTTGTGACACAAGAGCCCAGGATAACAATAAAGGCAATAAGAAACCACACAACGTCAATTGTGTAAGTGTCAGTACAGGAAAGAACTACCCAAGGCTCAATGTCACAGAAGAAATGATTGATAACATTGGAGTCACAGAAAGACAACCTGGTAATAAGGAAAGCTGGCAAAGAAATGACTAGGAAGCCACATATCCAAGAGCCAAAAGCCATTTGGAGAGACAAAGTTTTGGACATGATGGTGTTATAATGCAGTGGGTGACATATGGCCGAATAGCGGTCATAAGCCATGACGGCAAGCAGAAAATATTCTGTACATCCCAAGGAGAAAACAAAGTACATTTGTGTGATGCACCCTATGAAGGTGATGGTTTGATCCTGGGACACAAGGATTGCTAAAGTCTTGGGAACCAAGGCAGTCGTATACCATATCTCTAGGAAGGAAAGATTGCAGAGGAAGAAGTACATGGGAGTGTGCAGTCGTTGTGTGCTCTTCACCAAAGCTATGATGGCCACATTTCCAGAGATTGTGAGTATATACATAATGAAGAAGAACATGAAAAGGAAGCTCTTCATTTCAAGAGACCCAGGGAATCCCAGAAGGATAAATTCCTTCACACTGGAGTCATTTCTGTCATTCATCCGAGTAGGTTTACCTGTCAAAACGTCATGAAAACCAGCTGCTTAGGAATTAGGTTAATTATGTTATAAAATTATTTGTATTCCAAGAAACACACAAAAATCTACCATAAACTAAGTGATTTAAAAATAAAAATATAACCCTAATATATATGTGTTATTACATAATATTGCTATTTACGTTTCTATAGAACATAAGAATTGAGGAAGGTAAAAAGATGAGTCCTTATTTTCAAGTTATTGTTCCCATGCTTTTCTATATCAATCATCCCCCATGTGAAATGTGCAGATTTCTCTACAGGATTTGTGGGTTAATAATATAGTACTATACACTGGGGGTGAATCCTACCACCTTTTCTTCTCAGTGTTGCTTGACTCCCTTCTTCACTGCAGTTTCCATTTCATATGGATTTTGTCTACCTGAATCCCATTATTCCTGACAAAGTCTACAAAGTCTTCAAATTACACCTGAATTCAAATTACATCAGAATTCTAGAAAAGTGAAACAAAACATAAAGATTCCAAAGGAAGCTTTGGAAACATATCAATCTTTATGCAAACAAAAATCTAAGAACTTCTTTAATTATCCCTTTTAAGTTAATTTGATTTAACAGTGCCAAACCATCACTATACTATCAGTAATTATAAATAAACAGAATAACAAACTTACCATTTCACAGTTGTGAATAAATGAATGAAAATGAAATTCGGGATTCTATTCCAAATATTTTTTTACAAAAAAAAAATTCTAGATAGGTAAAGGATGGTAAAAGGTATGTTGTATAACTATCTTTACAAAAAGCGGTACTTTTCCACAAATTCTATGAAATACATGGTTTCCCAATAAGCAACACTTTCTAATAAAAAGTAACCACTTCAATACAGAACATGGATAATCCATTCTGTCAGTATTTCAGCATCTGATACCACAAATTTCAAACTTCATACACTTTGGCAGTGAATCCTTTTCTTTGACTGCAATCTCCCAGAAGACATCCATCCAGAGAGATTTATTATCTCTCAGTAAATATAGTGTTTGTTCCTTGTTTTATCATTAAACCACAAGAGGAGTTACTCTCTATTTATTGTAACAAAGATGTGGTGCCGGGGTGAGGTTTCAAGGAACATGCTTTTTACTCCCTTAGGAAGATGAGTATTCTTACTCAAAAACTCCCATACATTTACTTTAGTCCATTTCCCCTTTGGGGTGATCTGTACATGCCTGATGTACACGAGATAAGAAAGAAAGTATAGTTAAGTAAATACTAGTCATACTTCGGGGCATTTTAACATACAAATTGTGTCACTGGGAAGATTGATGAAAAGTAAAGTATAAATGAATATTTAAAAACCTGTTATCTTTGGCATGTCAAAGCTCAGTTGAATCCATCCAGCTTTTCTGTTGGCGGAAAAGAGCAATTAAAAGGGTATGTTGGGGACCACATGACCTGCATTGACCAAAAGCCTAGCATAGAACTATGGGCCGGATTCTCCCTATGGCAAGCATGACTACTGATTTTATATGTTTTAATGTGTTTTAAATTGTATTGTACTTATTAAAAAGTTGTAACCCACCCTGAGCCCATTTATGGGATGCGTGGATACAAATGCGAAAGATAAATAAATAAATAAAAGTAAAAGTTTCCTGCTTTTATTCTCAAATTTGACATCAATTCGCTTAGTGGCATTAGGCAGGTCACTCTCTCCTAGGCTGCTAGAGTTTGACAAATTTATTTTAAAATAAGTTTCTATATCACCGGTCAAACTTCAATTTTCAATGATCAGCAGCATATGTGAAGCCCTTTGAACAGGCACAGGATCTCTGTATGAATGCAAAGTTTCATTCATCCAACAACGTACCTTGCTGTTTATGACTTTTGCTGTGGAAACAGTAATCAAGAAGAAGAATGTAACAATGTGGCACAGAGTTAAGGACTTTTAAGTCCCACTGATCTCAAGTCCGGGTGCTCCCGCAGAGGCAGAGCCACACCCACAATCCCTGTTGGAGCACAGGTGCCCAGGAGTGGACCCACATCCATTGCCAGACCTGCCTCCAGACTTACCTTGGAGTCACAGGATACTCACTTGGGAACCCACAGTGCCAAGAACAGGGAAGTTCACAAGGGCAATGGCAACAAAGGTAACTTCTGCAACAGCAGCAACACAGTATGGGCCCTTTAAGGCCCCAACTCAACCATATCTTCTGGCTGCCAGGACAGCAGCAGCAAGAAGGGGGAATGGTACATCAGTAGTGCAGTATGGGCCCTGCTTCAATTACTGCCTACAGTTGCTTGCAGTTTAGCCAGGACAATGGGGAGGGGAGGCTGCAGGGGTGGCCCAAGATTCCCCTGAGGTCTCATGGGACTGCTAGTTCTAGCAAGAGTTCAGGGGAGTTTACAGAGCATGTGCAGCCTGCTGCACTAGCTTCATAAAGGGCTTAGAAGCAGGAGGTGGCTGGGTTCTCTCTCCAGGTTGCATAAGAGAGACCCAGTGGACAGGTACAAGAACCAGGTACTATAAATCCCCTCCCCTCTTCTATTTGGAGGCCCTGTAAGCCCAAGCAGGACAGAAAAGAGGGTGATGGGTAAGGGAGCCGCTGAGGGAAGGGACACGGAGGCCCTTGAACCCCACAACAGGATGCTGACTATGGCCATAATGAGTCACTCCCTCCCCCACACCCAATCACCCCCCAGCACTACGTAAACTCCAACCCGGGGTGCAGCACAGGACATTGTCTCTGCCAGGCTTACTTAGAGAGTGTAGTGTTTCACTTCCATTGTGGGAGAGGCACAGAGTGGGCACTTAGCACTGCTGGGGAGCATTAGCACCCAAGGGGTGGGAGCAAAGTCCATGCTGTAGGGCTAACAGGTTTCATTTCAGCACTTTAACATGTTCCCCATCTTAGGAGGCCCAAAGTGAAGGGGTAATGGCACAATGAAAGGTGAACAGGAGCAGGAATCCAGCTGCCTTGGCCTGGGGGTGCTCACATGCCTCCCCTGTTCCCCTTGCTTGTGCCTGGGTGCCACCCTAGCAATGCTGGCTCCCACAACCAAGGCCACTGGCATTTTCATTTGGTGAGCAGAATCAGGACCGAGTACCATTACCCCTGTCACATAAGGGACATATTTGCAGGGAAGTATACCTGGGCAATGAAAGGTGAACAGGAGCAGGAATCCAGCTGCCTTGGCCTGGGGGTCCTCACATGCTTCCCCTGTTCCCCTTGCTTGTGCCTGTGTGCCACCCTAGCAATGCTGGCTCCCACAACCAAGGCCACTGGCGTTTTCATTTGGTGAGCAGAATCAGGACCGAGTACCATTACCCCTGTCACACAAGGGTCATATTTGCAGGGAAGTACACCTGGAAGGGTTGCCTGTTGCCAGGACAGGGGCATAGACAGCTCTGCATCGGGCTGTTAGCACACTCATTTGAGAAAGCACCCCTCCTGCCAAGTGTTTCAGGGAGCCTGGCAACTTGAATCAGCATTTTCATACAATATCTCTTAGCTTTCTTCCTCACTACAGTTCTTGGCCCATAAGGATTTTGTTCCTGAGCAGTTTTTACTACAAATACTGGACTGAGGGTGTGTGTTTCTTTAAAGTTTCTCATATCTCTGGTCCCAGTCACAGAAGTGAGATAATCCGGGGGCGAAGCGAGGCTTTTTGCTCCGGAGCAAATGAAGTGCAGTATCGCGATCAAACATTTCCCCCGAGGCTCTGTGTTCAGGCTGTCAGCCGTGATCACATGTTGATGGTGAAGCATGGCAAAGAAAGGAGGCAGTTCAGCAGTACTGCATTTGTGCACATGTGCAGCTCCATTTTTGTGCGCATACCACCAGATGTGATGGGATACCAGCACTTCCGCGATTGGATGCCCACCCACGCCCCGTGTTTTCCAGAAACTAGTGCACTTTCCCTGGTGTCTTTTAACTCCTCTTCTTCGGCTGGGCAATATGGGTTGCCGACAGGTGTGGGACACTTGCCAGATGTTTTTGTGTGATCGCACCCTTAATTCGTCCCTATTGCGCGGCTAATTCTGCATGTGACCATGACCTGTGACTACAGATACAGGGGTTTGGGGGACGTTTTGAATTATTTTGGCACACAAAGATACATGGTTGTTTTTAATATTTTAAAAAAAACACTCATGTATACATGCATGCAAAAAACATGCAACCCCCCACCCAATTCACCTTTGATGGTTTTAAAGGGGGGAACAGAGCAGTCTAAAAGTTATGAGTTGTATCATTGGCTATAGATTGCTTAAAATTAGCTTGCTTAAAATTAGTTATGTCTCATGTTGCTAAAATCTCATGTTTTTTTCTTTGTTTGATCTTCAGCATTGGGACATTTGAGATAAGTTAGTGACATCAATGCAAGCACAAAAGGAACCATAAAAATCAAATATGGAAACTTTGAGAGGAATTATTTTTCAAAACATGACAAAATCTTTGGAGATGAAATAACAAAGCACCTGAAGGACTAATGAACATATTATGGGAGAAATGAATCCTCAGGGAAACTTGTGCTATAATAACAGTTCTTCCCTCTACCTTCTATATCTTAATTCAAAACAATTGTGTAGGAGAATGTCTGTCCTATAGTAAGTGATCCAATCAACCCAGAATATTTGGAAACAGAGAGAGGATTGGGATATATGAGTTCTGTGGATGAATGGATGGATGAGTGAATGAGTGATAGAATACAATCAAAGCATACCAATCATTGGCATTTTACACCTAGAAAATGAAGGAGCAAACAGTTGGTAAGTGGCTCCATTTCCTTGTGTTTCTGTACCTACGTAGTTTAGAATGGTTAAAACCTTTCATATTTTAATCCAACAGAAGATACTGCTCTGTCTAGCTTGTTGCTATTTCCTCTGAGCATTTATTCAGAAAGTTAAGCATTTACTGGAAAAGAGGAGGAATTGTTAAGATGACGAAATGACATATTTAGTAGGCAACTCATCCCATTTGAAACCAAATCTGATACTGACAAATGTTAATAGGTCTTTATTTCATGATCCACAAAGCTGAATGTAGCACATTGGCCTTATATGATATGATTCCATAATAGACTGACATTTCCACTCCACTAAGGAATTTTACCTTAGTCTACCTTGATGGCCCACATGTTCAACATGAACCCAACAAAGCTAAACAAAGACTACCAACTATGTCCTAGACTATGCTGGTTGCTTGACAATTCTGAGTTGGATCCAGCCAGATTTTTACTCAAATTTTCCCAATACTCACCTCCTTACTACAGCCCCCATTTCTGGTTTAGAAGTTCCAGGATCACACTACACTTCTCTAAAATTAATGCAAGAATGTGTATATAGTTTTAAATTAATTAATATGGAATGGACACAAATCAGGTAAGTAAAATGAGAATATTAGCTGCTGTAGATTTTCTGGGTTGCATGGCTGTGGTCTTGGCATTGTAGGACCTGATGTTTTGTCAGTAGCTGTGACTGGCATCTTCAGTGGTATATCACAGAAAGATGGAGTACTCTCTGTGTCAAAGTATGAGGATAGTTAGGATAGAGAGAAAAAGGACACATTAAACAAGCCAGTATCTGAGAGATCCATATTTAGACCCTGACTCTACCATGGAAGTTCACAAGGTGATCTTGTGCCAGTAACATTCAGCTAATCTACCTCACAGGGTTGTTGAGAGTATAAAATGAGTAGTGGAGAATGAGGTTGTACACTGTTTTGCATTCACAACTGGAGAAAAAAGTGAGGGATGAATATCAAAATGAATAAATGAATAAAAGTTAGTGGTTCGATCCCACCTGATTTTTGCTTGTGTCTGATCTAAAATTCTGATGCTATTTCACTTCTTTTATGTGATTAGATATAACAGGAGCTAATAAATGATAATTTACTATAATAAGACAGATAAGGGGAATGTCTCTACTGTATTTAGTGAGAGATAAATTTAGTGAGAGGTAAAGAGAAAGTCTGAATGGTGTTTATTTATCTAATACATTTTTATTCTACCCTACATCCAAAGAGCTCAAGTCAACTGACAAAACACTCCCTTTCTCCATTGTATATACACAATTGATTTGTGCTATAATCATGGGTTGGATCCAGCCTTCCGTTTTGTTCAGTCTCTCCCAACTCTCCCAAGTGCACCCTCCATCTCACATGGTTTCTGTCAATGCAGGTCCCATGATCTCAGTATAGTCTATTGGGGTGACTTGAAGGGGAACCTTGCTTTCTTTTTCACCGGCACGAAAGGTGGTTGGATCCAATCCTATAGTTCCCTTTAATATTGCTTGCAAGTTCTACTTGATTTCCTTAGTCAAAATCAAGTTCTTAGTTCTTTTTAACTTTTTAAACATCTTTAACCTTTCTAGTCCTGACCAAACAAAAAACAACTCCCATACTTGGTTTTCACATCCATTCCTGAAATCAGGTTCACCATCCCATACTAGTTCATAATGCAGGTGAAAGTGGGCAAACTCGATGTTTGCTAAAACATCCATTTTACATCTTAGGATGGGAACTTCACCATATGACAAGAGGAACATATAGATCAGCCTTGAGCGTTTGAAGTTTCTTCTTTGCCTGCTCTTTTCGTGGTGATCTCCTGTTAAAGCAATGCAACACTCCCATATTCAAGCATCATTTTATTTATTTGTTTATTATTTTATATGTTTAATCTGTATCCCGCCCTCCCTGCCATGGCAGGCTCAGGGCGGCTTACAGAATATATATAAATATTAAAACAACAAGATATGTTAACACAGAGAAGTTAGATTAAAATCACAGCATATAAAATTTAGGTTTTAGGAACATAATACATAAATATTAATAAAAAATGGTGACATTCTCTCAACATGCAGGTGGTCAACTACCACCATAATCCGGGTTCTTGCCAGGCTGTTAGTTGTTAAGTTAGTGCTGATGTTGGGACCAGGGCCACAATATTAAAAGGCAGCACCCTAATCAAAAGCCTGGTGGAAGAGCTCCATTTTACAGACCCTGCGGAACTGTAAAAGGTCCTGCAGGGCCTGATGTAATCCGGGAGCTCATTCCACCAGTTAGGGGCTGCCACAGAAAAGTCCCTGGCCCTCATCACAGCTAGCCTGGCGTCTTTAGGGCCTGGGAGAGTCAGACAGTTTTGGGACCCCGATCTTAGTGCTCTCCCAAGTAAACCTGACTTTCCCTAGAAGATAACCCTCTTCCAGTATAAAAAAGCTTCCTCCCCCAGAGAAACGATCCGACTTAGCAGGGTGGAACACAACCCTGTTTGTACAAATCTCATATACATCATGCAAAAACAGAAAAAAGCTGGAAAAACAAAGAGTAGACACTGTTGATTAAAATATATATGAATGAATATAAAAATAAACTAAATAGGAAGCATTTATTCACCCCAAATGATCAGCCATTCTTGATATAAATTATCTTGCATTGTTTTATTATAATAAAAATCCAATGGCATTTTAAAGACTGACAACATTTTAACACCTTCCGGCCATGCACGAGACAGCCCAAGCATGCCTCGTGGGGGCCGCGTTTGCCTCCTCATGAGGAGGAATCAGGAAGGTGGCTGCGGTGGAGCCTTAGCTCCAACAGGGGGAGCGGAGTCTGTGTAGCCTTAATAGGCTTGCTCCGCTCTCTCCCCAGCCAGTCCTTTAGGTTTAAATAGAGTTCAGCGGCTAGCAAGCACCAATTAATAACCCCTGGTGAGGGTAGAGGGGTCTGTGGGACCAACCTTGTAGCTGTGCGGCCTGGGTGAAGCTTGCAGACCGCCTATGGGGATGGTCACGACCGAGACTCAGCGCTGGCCATGTGGTGGTGTTTGAGGGCTACTGAGGGTGCATCCCAATCTTGGCTCGGCCGGGTTTGTAAGCGACTTACGCTTGGCTCCATCCCGGGGGGCCGTGGTGTCTTGCCGTTCATATGGTTTGAGGATGGGAGTCAAAGCGACGCCAGGCCTGGCCATGCCGCTGTTTTCATAGTTGCCCTTTGCCGTTAAGTTAAAAAGTTAATAATTTAATAAAGTGGCCTTATTTCATCCAACCTTGTTATCTGACTGTTTCTTCCGTCTGGGGGGGCAATAACATCTTTAAGTAGTCACTGGTCTTTTGTTTTATTTTGTTGTAACAGACTAATGCTGCAACCCCCTGGCAATCATCTTATTCAGCCTTCTCATGATCTCAATAACACCAAACCTTTCAGAAAAGAGAAAGCATTGCCTCTGATTTCTGTGAACCTCCTAGCACACTCACCCTCCCTTTTTTAAAATGTTATTTCTCCACACTGATAAGGTCTACAAATTGTAAATTTATGAACCACCTTTTCACAAAATGATGATGAGCACATCATCAGATACAAAGATATTGGCACACTTCACGCAAATAATCTTTACTAATAATACTTTGCAACTGGTTGGATCCAACCACGTTTCCTGTTGCAGGGCAGAGGGGCCCTTTCTGACTGCCATAATGGCTCTCCTGGGGCTCACCGGGATCTGCACAGACAAGGCAGATGAAGGTTGCAGTGAGCAGAGGAATCAGGTGAGATAAAAAGAAAAAGCTTGTAAGATCGAATCCTATTTTTTTTAAAAAAGTATGGAATTTGCAAATGTTTTGGATTTGGAAAACACAGAGGCTGTTCTGGAAGCCATTCTGCAGCCAACCACTTTACCTGAGCATGATAATTTTGTTTACGGTAATGAATTTTAATTCATGGTGACACTTCCTGTAAGTTCATTCAATGTTTTGTTTCAGCAGATGCAAGAAAGCAGATGGGGGAATACACAGCAGGAAGACCAAATGAAACAAATTTTGTGGAATTCATCCTCATGGGCTTCCCTGGGTCTGTGTATTTACAGGTGTCCATGTTCAGCCTCTTTCTTATTATGTACATCCTGACAGTTTTTGGAAATGCCTCCATCGTTATTCTGCTGATAACTAACCGACGTCTCCACACACCCATGTATTTCTTCCTTTGCAATCTTTCTTTCTTAGAGGTATGGTATACAACAGCTTCGATTCCTAAGATCCTTGCCATTTTCCTGGGAAAGAGCAGAAGCATCTCTTTCACTGCCTGTGTCCTGCAGTTGTATTTTGTTTATTCCTTGGGGACTACGGAACAATTCCTGCTCTCTGTCATGGCTTATGACCGATATTTGGCCATATGCCACCCCCTGCACTACAATACAATTATGGACATCAGCCTCTCTGGCAAAATGGCATTTGGTTCTTGGCTATGTGCTTTCTTTGTTGTTTCTATACCTGCTGTTATGATTTCAAGGTTGTCCTTTTGTGAGTCCAATGTGATCAACAATTTTTACTGCAGCATTGATTCGTGGATAGTTCTGTCCTGCACAGACACCTATGCCATCGAGACAGCCTGTTTCGTCATAGCCATCTTTGTCAGCATTGGCTCCTGTATGATAACCTTCCTTTCCTACATATTCATTATCATTACTATCCTGCGCATTCCTTCCACCAAAGGACGACAAAAGGCCTTTTCCACATGTTCCTCCCATCTTGCCATCTTGCTTCTTTGGTATGGTTCAGCCATCTTTTTATTTGTCAAGCCTTCTAAACAGACCTCTTTAGAGATGACTAAAATAGTGAATGTCCTGAACACTATTGTGACTCCATTGCTGAACCCTTTCATCTACACACTAAGAAATAAAGAAGTAAAGGATGCATTCAGACATTCATTGCAGTGGAGATGTCACAAAATACACATGGTATGATTCAAAGGAGCAGGGAAATAATCCTGAACAAATCCTCAATGCAATATTAAAGGTTAGGCTGTAGATCTTGCCACAACACTGCCACAATATACACTCATTTGTTATCTGTTAGTTAAGCAGACTTGGCTTAACTAACCTCTGTACAGCCTGTTTGCCAAATCCAAAAATGGATACGTATATATACCAGGACTCTTCTTTTGAACAATATTTCATTATTTGAAAAAAAATCAACTATCTTCTATCTCCAAGTTTAGGATCCATGCTGGAAAAGAAGTGAAAAGATATTGTGGCAAGTGCTGGTTGACCATGTATTTGTTATGTAAGTGGCACAGAATGGCTGGCTGGCTGATTCTTTCTCAATGAATTCTAACATCAAGCACCTAACCCACACTTTTCCTGCCAATTCCATAGTCAGGATCTAACCAAGCCTTAGTATTAGGCTTATTTAAATGCCCAAATCCTCTAGAATGATATGAGTCGTACAAAAGAAGCCCTATCCTGTCTGAATCAATTGGAGAAGAACTCAACAATTTCCTGGGAATTATCAAAATGAACAGATAATCCCACCTTGCTCATTGGAAGGGCAGTCTGGGTGACCAGCTTTGCACAGCATAAACCTGCTGCTCTGGAGTATGACACAAACAGGTGTTCCATTTTCCCTTCTCATTGGTTAGCAGCTGGCTTGATTCCCACATCTGAAGGCCTTGCAATCTATTCCCAAGGGGAGTGGGTCCAAAATCTGCCCTTTCACAAAAGGCTTTGGACTACATTTGTGTGGGGAAAATTTGCCCTCAGTTTGCTCTAATATCCACTGGCATCCAGAAGAGATACAAGGAAGGGATGCGTTTAAGTCCTATTGACTGATTTCCAATGGAAAAAGAGAATGAAATTCCTTTTTTTTTTTTTACTCACATGTAGGATTAGATTTTAATGGATTAACAAAACATATCTGTTAAAAATAGCTCTTAAAATAATCTTAAATTAAATGTAATGCTAGCATAAAAGTATCAATCTTAGTTAGATTTTAAAAAAGAAGTTAAAAAGGGGTGAAGAAATTGCCTTTGAACATTACAGAACCACCAAAGAACCTCACATTTAAAGCTCCACACATCGATTGTTGTGGCAGTGTTTTCAAATATAATATACATTTTGTTCCATTTAAATATAGTCTTTGTGATATTACCCTAATGGAGCTACTTTTACAAAACTGAGCTATTAGAATAGTAAGGGCACAATGTTATTATAAATGCTTTAGGATTTCTACAGTATGTATGCTACTATCAGCACATCACTTTGTTTCAACATTTCCTTTCAAGTCAAACATGCTGAAATCTATCACTATTGTTATCTTATGAGCTTCTTATTATCCTGAGCCAGAACTACACTGGCCACCATACAACCGTGAGTCAATCAGCAACCCATCAGTTTGCATTGCTATTTAGAGCTGAAAGACTTTCCTCCTCAATAATAAAGAATAAAGGCAATTATCTAGGACATATTTATGTAGCCTCATATTAAGTATCTAGTAAATTTATGAGCATAAACTGTGAGAATGTGTAATTCCTTTTTAGCAGTTTTAAAAGTCTTTTAAATGTATTCATTGCCATGGGTGACTGGGAACACATTCCAAACCAAATTAATTCTGGGGAACCCCAAGCACATGGATGGGACTTTTCCCCCCCCCTCCTCCTGCCTCTTGCTGCCATTCTCAAAGGAGTTTCAGGTATAGGTTTTTAATGTGTTTGAGAGGATGATACAGATGCACATGTGTGGTCTTTACACCTGAATAGCAAGCTGTGAATGGGCCCATTTCCAATATTTTATTTATTTATTTATTTAATTGTATTTATACCCCGCCCTCCCCGCGAATGGGCTCAGGGCGGCTCACATAAGACACTGAGTGCAATCAACATACAAAATATATATTACAATTTACAAAGTTAAAACAGATTAAAATCAATACAATGGATGCACATATAAACTCCTCACTTGTTGCATAGCAGGGGGGAAGGCCGGGTGCTGAAAAGATGTTACCCAACCACCCTAACGGTCTCTCTCTGTAAAAGGGTGGTGGTACAAGTGGCCGTGGCGGCTCCTACTCACAAGCCTGGCGGAAGAGCTCCATCTTCCAGGCCCTGTGGAACTGTACAAGGTCCCGCAGGGCCCTGATCTCTTCCGGGAGCTCATTCCACCAGGTAGGAGCTGCCACTGAGAAAGACCTGGCCCTTGTTGCCGCAAGCTTGGCCTCCTTAGGGCCCGAGGTCACCAGCCGGCGTTGTGACCCCGACCGAAGTGCTCTTTGGGGAATATGGAACCTAGTTTTACACTGAAATATCCAAATGTAGATTCAGACCTTTGGCTTTTGCTCTGATGGCTTAGGTTTTACAGCTGAATAATGAAAAGCATCATATCTGGCTTAATACAACCACTTTACAATTTGAGGATTTGTGATAAAGTGACAGAGCTCCTATGCAAGCTGGGAGAGATGATACAGAAATGATATATATTAAACAAGGGGAGTAAAAAAAACCCGTAGGTGGTCAAAAGTAGCATCACTTGTTCATTTAGTACCAAATACTACAATGGAATGTAAATACTACAGACTCCCATAAAACTGTTGAGAGAAATTTAAGAAGGCAGATGTTTAGAGGCAAGAATTAGAACTCTGATGAATACTGGCAGGTGCGGTTTCCAGTATATCTGACATGCATAAGCACCATTTCAAAAATGAACCCCCTATATTTTCCATATTCCTTAGGACCAGTTCTGTTGCTCATTTTGTAATCAAGTCAAATGGAAGAGAGAGAGTGAGGGACAGCGGGATGTGATGATGGGAAGAAGCTCATCAGGGTATAATGCCATAGACTCCGACCTCCAAAACAGCCATTTTCTCCAGGAGAATTGATCCTTGTAGTCTGGAGAGCAATTATAATTCCTGGCGATCTCCCGGTCCCACATGGACGTTAGCAACCTTCTTAGTGCTCTTATCTCTTTCATACACTGGCATGAAAATAGAGCCACAGGATCCAAGTTGCTTTAGTGGTGTTGCTCCATCTGCACCCCTTCCTCAGACAGGTGTTCCTGACCACAATGATGATGGTTCCCTGGAATCTCATTCTCCATCTTCTTCCCCAACATGAATTCCCTCATCAGTTCTTGGAGGATTGATTCGAGTTTGCTTCACTCCTTCATGCCCCTGCATTGGGATCTAACATTTGTCTATCTGTGTGGCAAGTTTCCACCCCTTCCAGCCACTTACTCCTCCCCACCAGCCTGTCACTGCTTGGGCTACCAACCCTATCCCCTGCATTTCTTTGTTGTCAAAAAGCCAACAACCAGCCTTCTTGCAAAGGCTCCAAACACACATTGACAACATGTGTTCCTCTACAACCTTCTTCAAAGCCCACTTAGCCATGCAGGTAAGTCTTTCCAGTGGACCACATTTAGCTGCTTGGCCCTGGTCTGTAGTGAGGCAGTGAGAGTGACCTGGTATAGATACAGAATGTCAATGGTTTTTCAAGATGACAAAAGTATACTTCAGTGATTGTGAACTAAACACTTAGATTGCTCATATTTTGCATCAGATTCCTTGCCTAATGTTCAATTCCACACATATTGCACACCCTCTATTAGTCAAAGCATTGCATTTGGTGAATGACATAAGGCAGCTTAGCAATACAAATCTACAGAGAGAATGATGCACAGAGGATATGAATGTTCTTCAGATTTTGTTTTCTTTTTCATAATTGCCTAAGGCCTACTGGAAGCTCTCTCACACACACACCAAACTGATGTATTCTTTGGAGATGGCATCTCAAGAGGGCATTTGGTTATGACAATATAAAGGTCCTTGACCCAATTCTTTTAGAAGCCACTGTTTCAGAGGACATTCTTATGATTTAAACTGGGTGAGTAGAAACGATAGATACAATCAGAATAAATGGAAATAGAGGAAGGCTCTTTGTGTGAGATAGATGACTGATGTAGCAATGACCTTTTGTGTGTGTGGGGTTATGTTCATTTATATTTTTGCTTAACTTTTGGCTTTCACCTTTCCAAAGTGGGTTTTAAAGATTCATAGCAATGCTTACAGCTTCTTTAGCCTTCTATCAAAATGGTACTTGGGCATAGTTTCAGTCCCTCCAGGGTAGTATACACTATATGTAAGATAACCACAAAGCTTACACTTGAACAGTGTACAAGTCTTCCCTTTCTTTTTTATAGGCTCAGAATGGCTCCTCCTGATTGATGGAGCTTGTCCTTTTACAACTCATGAGATATAAGTAGTTCCCCCCCACTACATATAGCCCACATATTTCTTGTTCTCTGTATGAACAGAACCATTCCCACAAATCTTGTTTTCATGAGAAAACAGCCAGCTAGTTTAAAGGGACAGCATTGGACTACATAATTATATCTGCATATTTGCATATATAATGATTTTAGGAGTTTGTTTCTGGGTGTTTTTTTTCCATGATAAAAAGTTTAATAACTATGCCACAAAGAGATTTGTGATTTGTGACTTACTGAGCTGATTGTAGCACCTCAACCAAGTACCAGCCAATTGCTTTTCAGATAAAATTTTCAGATAAAAAAATTGGTGGCAGTCTTGTACTCTCTTAACTCCCATGGACTTCTCTGGGATTTAGACAGTCTATTTACAGGCAGGATTACACCTAAAATTTTCTTCTCAGTAAACATACTTGACCATCTCAAAAGCCTATGTTGGGGACCATGGGGCCTGCATGGACAAAAGCCATTTGGAACAAAGACTGTAGTATAAGAAGGATAATTGGGAGGGACTCGAATTAGCTGGATCCCACCAGCTGAATCTGAAAATCTGAAGATGATGATGATGATGAAGAAGAGTTCGTTTTTATAGCCTGCTTTTCTCTACCCCAAGGAGTCTCAAAGCAGCTTTCAATCGCCTTCTCTTCCTCTTCTCACAAAAGACATCTTGGGAGGTGAGTGGGGCTGAGAGAGTCCTGAGAGAACTGTCA